GGTTGGTCTGGGTCAGCCACGTTGGGAGCAGTTGTGGGTCTGGGGGTCACTGGAGTGCAGTTGTGGGTCTGGGGGATCACCTGGGGGGACGTTTTGGGTCTAGGAATTTACTAGTGAGTCACTTGAGGGGCAGTTGTGGGTGTTGGGGATCACTTCGGGGGCACATGGGGCAGTTGTGAGTCTGGGAATTCATTTGGGGGTCACTTGAGGAACTACTGTGGGTCTGGGGCTCACTGGGGTGTCACTTGGGGGGCAGTTGTAGGTCAGGGAGATCACTTGTGGGGAAGTTGTGGGACTGGGGAGTCACTTGGGTGTCATTTGAGAGGCAGGTTTGGGTCTGAGGAATCACTGCGGGGGTCATTTGGGGGGCAGTTGTGGGTCCATGGGGCCACTAGTGGGGCAGTTTTAGGGCTGAGGGGATCATGTGGGGGCAGTTATGGCTCTGGGGGTCACTTGGTTAACACTTGGGGGGCAAAGGTAGGTATGTGGGTTGTCTTGGGGGGCAGTTGTGGGTCTGTGGTGTCAGTTGGGGCAGTTGTGTGTCTGGGGGGGTCACTTGGGGGGTAGCTGTGGGTCTGGGAGGTCACTTGGATGGCAGTTGTGGGTCTGAGTGGTTACTCAGGGGGGCAGTTGTGGGGCTGTTGTATGTTTGGGAGATGACTGGAGGGTAGTTTTGGGTCTTGGGGGTCACTTGGAGGGCAGTTGTGGGTCTGGGATTTCATTTGGGGGACACTTGGGGAACTGTTGTGCGCCTGGGGGTCACTAGGGGTCACTTGGGAGCAGTTTTGGGTCTAGGATGTTACTTGAGGGTTACCTGGGGGCAGTTGTAGGTCAGGGGAGACACATGTGGGGCTGCTGTGAGGCTGGCGTGATAAGGGGAAGTCATTTGTGGGCAGTTGTGGGTCTGGGGAGATAAGGGGGGTCAGTTGGGGGGCAGTTGTAGGTAAGGGGAGTCACTTGTGGGGCAGTTGGGGGTCTGGGAGGAAACTTTGGGGTCACTTGGCAGACAGCTGTGGGTCTGAGTGGTCTCTTTGAGGTCATTTGGGGGGGATTTGTGGGTCTGGGGGATCACTTGGGAGTAACTGAGGGGGCAGTCTTTGGTGTGGGAGGTCACTTGGGGGGCAGCTGTGGGTCCAGGGAGTCACTGTGGAGCAGTTGTGGATCATAGGGATGCCTTTGGGGTCACTTGGAGGGCAGTTGTGGGTCTGAATGATCACCTGGCGGGAGTTGTGGGTCTGGGGGTTCACTTCTGGATCACTTAGAGAGCAGTTGTGGGTCTGAGGAGTCACTCTGGGGTCACTTGGGGGCACTTGTGGGTCTGCAGGGTCACTTGGAGGGCAGTTGTAGGTCTGGGATATCATTTGGGGGGCAGTTGTAGGTCTCAGGGTTCACTTTGGGGTCACTGGGGGGCTGTGGTTGGTCTGGGTCAGTCACTTTGGGAACAGTTGTGGGTCTGGGGGTCACTGGAGTGCAGTTGTGGGTCTGGGGGATCACCTGGGGGGACGTTTTGGGTCTAGGAATTTACTTGTGAGTCACTTGAGGGGCAGTTGTGGGTGTTGGGGATCACTTGGGGAGCACATGGTGCAGTTGTGGGTCTGGGAATTCATGTGGGGGTCACCTGAGGAACAGTTGTAGGTGAGAGAGATCTCTTGTGGGGAAGTTGTGGGTCTGGGGAGTCACTTGGGGATCACTTGGGAAGCAGCTTTGTGACTGTGGAATCACTGGGGGGGCATTTGGGGGGCAGTTATGGGTACGGGGAGGGCCTAGGTGGGCAGTTGTAGGGCTGAGGGGATCATGTGGGGGCAGTTATTACTCTGGGGGTCACTGGGTGAACACTTGGGGGGCAGAGGTAGGTCTGTGGGGTCTCTTGGGGGGCAGTTGTGTGTCTGGGGGTTCACACGGGGGCAGTTGTGGTTCTGGGAGATCACTTGGAGGGCAGTTGTGGGTCTGAGTGGTCACTTGGGGGGCAGTTGTGGGGCTGTTGTAGGTCTGGGGGCTGACTGGAGGGAAGTTGTGGGTCTTGGGGGTCACTTGGAGGGCAGTTGTGGGTCTGGGATTTCATTTGGGGGACACTTGGGGAACTGTTGTGCGCCTGGGGGTCACTAGGGGTCACTTGGGAGCAGTTTTGGGTCTAGGATGTTACTTGAGGGTCACCTCGGGGGCAGTTGTGGGTATGGGGGCTCACTTGGGGGTCACTTGGGAGGCAGTTGTAGGTCATGGGACTCACTTGTGGGGCAGTTGGGGGTCTGAGGGGTCACTTCCGGGTCACTTGGCAGACAGTTGTGGGTCTGAGTGGTCTCTTTGAGGTCATTTCGGGGGTATTTGTCAGTCTGAGGAACCACTTGGGAGTAACTTAGGGGGCAGTCTTTGGTGTGGGAGGTCACTTGGGGGGCAGCTGTGGTTCTGGGAAGTCACTGTGGAGCAGTTGTGGGTCATAGGGTTGCCTTTGGGGTCACTTGGAGGGCAGTTGTGGGTTTGAGTGTTCACCTGGTGGCAGTTGTGGGTCTGGGGCTTCACTTCTGGGTCACTTAGGGGGCAGTTGTGGGTCTGAGGAGTCACCTTGGGGTCACTTGGGGGCACTTGTGGGTCCGGAGGGTCACTTGGAGGGCAGTTGTAGGTCTGGGGTATCATCTGGGGGGCAGTTGTAGGTCTCGGGGTTCACTTTGGGGTCACTGGGGGGCTGTGGTTGGTCTGGGTCAGTCACTTTGGGAGGAGTTGTGGATCTGGGGGTCACTGGAGTGCAGTTGTGGGTCTGGGGAGTCACTTTGGGGGCACTTGGGGGCACTTGTGGGTCTGGAGGGTCACTTGGAGGGCGGTTGTAGGTCCGGGTTATCATTTGGGGGGGAGTTGTAGGTCTCAGGGTTCACTTTGGGGTCACTGGGGGGCTGTGGTTGGTCTGGGTCAGTCACTTTGGGAGCAGTTGTGGGTCTGAGTGGTCACCTGGCGGCAGCTGTGGGCCTGGGGTTTCACTTCTGGGTCACTTAGGGGCAGTTGAGGGTCTGAGGAGTCACTTTGGGGTCACTTGGGGGCACTTGTGGGTCTGGAGGGTCACTTGGAGGGCGGTTGTAGGTCTGGGGTATCATTTGGGGGGCAGTTGTAGGTCTCAGGGTTCAGTTGGACACTTGGGGAACTGTTGTGTGCCTGGGTGTCACTAGGTGTCACTTTGGAGGAGTTTTTGGTCTAGGATGTTACTTGAGGGTCACCTGGGGGGCAGTTGTGGGTATGGGGGCTCACTTTGGGGTCACTTGGGGGCACTTGTGGGTCTGCAGGGTCACTTGGAGGGCAGTTGTAGGTCTGGGGTATCATTTGGGGGCAGTTGTAGGTCTCAGGGTTCACTCTGGGGTCACTGGGGGGCTGTGGTTGGTCTGGGTCAGTCACTTTGGGAGCAGTTGTGGGTCTGGGGGTCACTGGAGTGCAGTTGTGGGTCTGGGGGATCACCTGGGGGGACGTTTTGGGTCTAGGAATTTACTTGTGAGTCACTTGAGGGGCAGTTGTGGGTGTTGGGGATCACTTCGGGGGCACATGGTGCAGTTGTGAGTCTGGGAATTCATTTGCGGGTCACTTGAGGAACTACTGTGGGTCTGGGGCTCACTGGGGTGTCACTTGGGGGGCAGTTGTAGGTCAGGGAGATCACTTGTGGGGAAGTTGTGGGACTGGGGAGTCACTTGGGGGTCATTTGGGAGGCAGCTTTGGGTCTGGGGAATCACTGGGGGGGTCATTTAGGAGGCAGTTGTGGATCCACGGAGCCACTAGGGGGGCAGTTGTAGGGCTGAGGGGATCATGTGGGGGCAGTTATGGCTCTGGGGGTCACTGGGTGAACACTTGGGGGGCAGAGGTAGGTCTGTGGGCTCTCTTGGGGGGCAGTTGTGGGTCTGTGGGGTCAGTTGGGGGCCGTTGTGTGTCTGGGAGGTCACTCGGGGGGCAGTTGTGGTTCTGGGAGGTCACTTGGGGGGCTGTGGTGGGTCTGGGAGGTCACCTGGGGCGCTGTTGTGCGTCTGAGTTGTTACTCGGGGGGCAGTTGTGGGGCTGTTGTAGGTCTGGGGGCTGACTGGAGGGCAGTTGTGGGTCTTGGGGGTCACTTGGAGGGCAGTTGTGGGTCTGGGATTTCATTTGGGTGACACTTGGGGAACGTTTGTGCGCCTGGGGGTCACTAGGGGGTCGCCTGGGAGCAGTTTTGGGTCTAGGATGTTACTTGAGGGTGACCTGGGGGGCAGCTGTGGGTATGGGGAGTGCCCGCCCAGCGGGAGGCTCGCACCGGAGCAGCCTCAGTGCTTGTTGATGCGGTTGGAATACCTGCAGTGCCTGTCTTCGGAGCTGCAGCAGCCACAGCGCCTGTCCTTGGCATTGGAGTAGCCCATGTGCCTGCTGCCATGGTTGCAGTAGGCACAGTTCTCAGGGCCTGGGGTGGAGAAGCCTCACTGCTTGTCGATGGGGCTGCAGGAGCAGCAGTGTGTGTCACTGGTGTTGGAGAGGCTGCAGTGGTTGTGGCTTGCACTGGAGTAGCCGCAGTGTTTGTGGCTGGGGTTGACGTAGCCACTGCATACATAGCAGGCCTTAGAGTAGCGCCATTGCTCCTTCCCAGAGATAGAGGAGCTGCAGAGCTTAAAACTGGTGGTGGAGTAACTGCAGTCCTTGTGCCTGGGGCTGGATTAACTGCAGGGCATGTTGAATTGGGTCGCACCAGCCACAGTGCCTGTCCTTGGCCGATGTGTCTGTCGCTGTACTTGCAGTACCTGCAGTGCTTGTGGCTTGGGTTTGAGAAGCCTCACTGCTTGTCACTGAGTTTGGAGTAGCCACACTGCTTTTTTTTGCCCCGGTTGGAATAGCAGCAGTGCATGTTGCTGGAGTTGTAGCTGTAGTGGCAGTCCTTGCCATTGGAGTAGCCACGGTGCCTGTTGCCATTGTTGGTGTCACCGCAGTGGTTGTGGCTGGTGTTGGAGTAGCTGCAGTGCTCGTGGCTGGTGTTGGAGTAGCCGCATTGTCTGCTGCTTTGCTGTTAGGTCTTGTCTCTCCTCACTGCAGAGCATGAGAGACTGAATCAGCCTTGCTCAGGGTAAGTGCTAATCAGAAACCACTATACAATCGGTGTGTTACCAGCGTTATCCTCAGACTAAAGCCCGACCTCACCACTGCCCCAGCTACAAGGAGGAGAATTAACTCTTATGAGGCGTCCCTCTGAGACCTATTGCTCTCCAAGGAACCCAGAATCCAATCCCCACAAGCCCCCCAATAACTGCAAAAGTCCCACAAAACACCCAATCCCCCAAACACCCCCCGAAAGTCCCCCCGAAACACCCAACCTCACCAAACTCCCAAAACCCCCAAACACCCAAAACCACCAGCTCTCCGCAAAACCGACAAAGTCCCCCCCAAAAAACAACCCCCAAAACCTCAAAGTCTCCAAAAAATCCCCACAGGCCCCCAATATCCATCCCAACCTCCCAAGAGCCCAAATCCCCACCAAAATACCCAACCTGCCAAACCCCCAAACCCCACGCTCCCCCCAAGAGGCACCCCCAGCTTACTTGCCCAGCTGCTGGCTCAGGCTGTGAGGGTGGAGGGCGGCTGTCTCCTGGGGCAGTGGATGTTTGCAGCCAAGGGTGGTTGAACACATCGTCCAGGGATGGCCTGTCGCGAGCTCTCATGGACAAGCACCACCTGATGAGGTGCTGGCATTCTGGGGAGAATCCGGGAATGCCGCTCAGTTGCAGGAGGCTCCTGCCTACCTTGTGCCACCGTCCGCAGCGCCCAGGCCTGGGTGCGCTCAGAGCTGCACCCAGACCTCCTGCTCCATGACTCGGTTTGGAGGAGAGCAGGATGGCAGGACACGGGCCACCTCCTCCAGCTGACCAAGGGAGATCAGCTGCCACCCCTAAACCCCGACCTTCCCCTGCTGCTGCGAAGCCAGGTACCTACCGACAGAGATCCGGCGCTGGAAGAAGAGCTGCCCGCTGACGATGTCCTCGCAGCACCGGAAGGGGAGGACCCCGCACACCATCTCATACAGCAGCACGCCCAGGGACCAGATCGCCGCCGGACGGCCGTGGTAGCAGTGCCAGCGGAACCACTCCGGCGGGTAGTACAAAGGTGTTCCTACAACAGGATACGGGCGCACCTCATTAGGCAGATGCCGCCTGCTCCTGGATTCTCGCCCGCGGATCCCCAGGGATGCAGGGGCTGCACCGGTGGCCCCACGGACGTGGGGACGCACGCTCGGTGTGACCCGCCACCTCATCATCAGCACATGACTCTTGTTCACAAACCGCCCGGTACCGGAAGCACCCTGGGCTGTGGGCTCACCGCTAAATTTGGTGTAGACCGTGTCCCTGAGGAGGGTGCTGCAACCAAAGTCAGCAAGCTTGACCTCTCTGGTGGCCAAGTTGATGATGATGTTCTTGGGCTTGATATCCCTGTGCAGGACACCGCGGCTGTGGCAGTGCCGCGCAGCCACCAGCACCTGGAGGAAAATGCCCCGCGCCGGATCCTTGGGCAGGAACCTCCGTTTTTTGATGAAGTTGGAGAGGTCCTGCGATGGCTCCGGACGCTCCAGAACCAGCACAAAGGAGTGGGGCAGCTCAAACCAACTGAGGAGCTGGATGATGGCACTGCAGCCGGAGCGCACCTTCCTCAACATGGCTATCTCCATGGGAATGCGAGTGCCGCTGGGCTGCAGGGGGACCACGGCACCGTCAGCAGGGCCGATGCTGGCCCGGGGCTCCTGTGCCTCCCTGCCTGGGATGCTCTGATGCCCTCCTGCAGGCGCCCCCCGCAATCCCCAGGGATGCTCTGGTGCACCCCTACCCGGCCCGTGTCCCCTGGTGACTCCACACCCACTCCCCTCTCGCTGTCCCACTTTCCCCCCCCACCGGCTCACCCCCACCCGCTCTGCCCCGCACTGTCCCGGTGGCCCCGCGCACTCACCCGCTCGCCCCACGAGGAGATGCGCTCCCGAGCCACTTGTTTGATCGCCACCTGCGAGCCAAGGGCAGCGCTGGGCTGAGCTGAGCTGAGCCGAGCCCCGCCGCCGGGCCCGCCCTTACCGGGCTGTTGTCACACAGGCGGAGCCCCGAGTACACGGACGCGAAGCCGCCTCTCCCCAGCAGCGGTCCCACGCGGTAAAGCCGCTCGAAGCTCTCCTTGTCGTGCCCCGTGCGACAGACGCGGCCGCTGTCGCTGCGCGCGGGGTCCCCGCCGGCCCCCACCGGGCGCTCCGGGCCGAGCGGAGCCGCATCATTCCCGGCCTTTCCCGGCCGAGGCTCCGCGGCGCGCCGCTCCCCGCCGGTCCCGGAGCGCAGATAGGCCGACGGGTCAATGCGGGTCAGGAGGAGCACGGGCACCTCGCCCGACCGCGCTGCCGGTGACGGCACCCCCGCAGCAGCACCGCGCTCCGGGGTCCCGGGGGTCGCGGCTGCCGGGAGGCCGCGGCGCCCGGAGGGAGAGGCCGCGGAGCCGCCGGTCCGCGCCGCGCCGGGCTCCTGCGTGTGGCGGCGGCCCCAGGCGGGGCGGGGCCTGGGGGCGGGCCGGGGAGCGCCAGGGGCCGGCGCTGCCTCGGCAGACCCAGACCCAGCGGCGGCTCGGCCGGCGCCGGCGCTGCCAGTACCGGGAGAGGGGAGCGGTGCCGCGAGCCCCTGCGGGGGGACGCTGGGGGGACGGGGGAGGCACCATCGCGGGGAGCGGCGGAGGGCGGGCTCCGGGCCGCCGAGAGCTGCCGCCGCCGCCTCACCTGGTGCTGCTGCCGCTGCTCCTGCCCAAGCCGCTGCCGCTCAGAAGCCGCTGCCGAAGCCGCTGCTGCTCAAAAGCCGCTCAAAAGCCGCTCAGAAGCCGCTGCTGCCGTTGCCGCCGCCGCCTGGCTCTCAACGGCTCTGTCCACGCGCGCCCCGGGCTGGGCAGGGCCCGCTCTGTCTCGCGGCCGCGGGAGCCCGGGGAAGGGCGGAGCGGGCCCTGCCCAGCCCCGCGGCCGGGCTCGTGCGCCCCCCGCCCGGCAGCAGCATCCCCGCGGCCGAGCCTTTGGAAACCGAACCTGAGCCTCGGGACCCTGCGAACGAGGCTTTAGAACTGAAACCGGAGGCTTTGGGAAGTCACAAGGAGGCTGCGATTTACTGCGTATTTTGTCCCCTTTTTCCTTTCCGCAGAGGTGGATTGAGAGGAGACTGCGACGAACACATCGATGCGTTGGCTTTCTCCAGTCATAGGTGTGCTCACGTGCGGGATATAACCGCACGGGTTTACAGTAACAAACAAAGCACGCTAAAGATACCAGAGCAGACAGGAAGTTAAAAAGGTTCAGATCTCTTGATCTAAACGGAGTCACACAGCAAGAGAGCTTGTAAAGGCGGAGGAGCCGTGGCTGCCCCGTCCCTGGCAGCGTTGGAGGCCGGGTTGGACACAGGGCTCGGAGCAAGCTGCTCCTTCCAGTGGAAGGTGTCCCTGCCCGTGGCAGGGCCTGGAGCTGGAGGAGCTTTAAGGTCCCTTCACCCCAGCCCATCCGGTGCCTCAGGGATCCCCTGAGGGGCGGCTCCTCCATGAGGAAAGGCCCCGCCCCCCCTTCGCCGTCCCGTGCGCATGTGCCGGAGCCCGGACTACAGCTCCCAGCGTGCCCCGCGCGGGGGAGCCGTGCGCTGATTGGCTTTGCGCGGCAATGGCGGCGGCAGAGCGGGAGGAGGTGAGGGTGAGCGGGCGCGGCGCGGGTCTGGGGGGCGCTGCGGAGCCCGGGGAGCGGGGCTGGGGGTCTGCGGCCCCCCGAGGCTCTGGGCAGTGGGGCCGGGGGAATGCGGGGGGCGGGTGCGAGCGCTGGGCAGTGGGGCTGCGAGATGGCTGCGAGTGTGGGGTGCTGCGAAGCCGGGGCATGGGGGGCTGGGAGCTGTGGGGGTCCCGCAGCTTTCCGGCCCTGGGGATGGAGCGGGGCTGTTGTGGGGGGCCCTGGGGGCTGTTTCCCCCCGGGGGGGAGGTGCTGCTGGGGCAGCCGATCCCCGGCACCCGGGGGGGGTCAATTCACTGGCTCTTTTCACCCCAAATCAGATCTCCTTCAGGTACTTCCCCACCCTCCCGCAATACCCACCAAATGCCCCCAGCTCTTTGAGCAAAAGCGATCCCACGAGCGGGTTTCCTTTTGCCTGAATGGGCAATAACCCAGAGTGGTTGCCCCAGCGCATCCTTTATGTGCACCCCAGGAACTTCATCCCCCTCTATGGTATGTAAAATCTGTAATTGGGCTGGGTCAGCTCTATTGGCAGATCCTCTGGTGTTGAGCAAGTGGGTGGCCTTTGCTAAGTGTATCCCAGTGTTTGAAAGTCCCACCACCCGTTGCTCTCAGTGTGGTTTTCAGCAGCCCATTGTACCATTTCCATTTCAAGTCTCAGTGTGTTGAGAAGGGCCAGAACCTTTATTTGCCCTGCTGCTGATTTGCCCTGGTCATCAAGATGAAGGCTTTAGATGTGGGAGCAGTTGATCTAGGGCTTGTTCATGTAATTTTATGCCATCTAAAAACTAAACGGAGTTTCTCTCATTAAAGCTCTACAAATGCCCTTTAAATCCTAGTGCTTTTAATGTATGAGATAGCTGTGGATGGCCCGGTACACAGGCTACGCGTACAGCACCCTGCAGTACAAAATATGTATGACCTTACTGGTCACTGCGTGCGGCTGAAAATGAGTGTGGTGTCACAGGAGGTTATTTGAGGATGAACTGAAAATGTTCCAGGACTTGTTTCTGGGGAAGTCTCTCGTTCCCAGGTTGTCCTGGTGCTCTGTGGACAGGCTCCTGGCCATGGGTTGTCTGTGCAGGTGTCCGGGAGGCTCCGTGCTTCGTCACGGAGTCGCGTCCTGCCCTGAGGTGACTCTTAGTTACTGCCGTAGCTCAAGCACAGGCCCTCGCTAACGGCTGCAGTCGCTGTGAGTGCTGGTTTTTGTAAGCACGTTTTTTTGCAGGGGATTGTCTCTTCTGTGAAACGTTTGCATGGGATTTCTATAGTTAAAAAAATACACAACTGCTTTGTTTTCCCCCCTCTGCTTGCCTGTGGAGAGTAGGAAGGAGAATGCCTGGCAGAGACGGGTAAAGAAGAGAAAGGGAAAGAAACAAGCCCAGAGAAGCAGTGAGGAAGATGCCAGTGAAGAGCAGGGAGAAGAGAAACAGGAGCCTCCAGCAGGTCAGGCGAGAAAGTGCCCCTCCCAGAGCAGCGTACCAGAAAAAGGAAGGCGGCGAGAAGTTGGAGTCTCAGGTGAGCTCCTGCTGAGGGAATGGGTCGTGGGTTTTGGTGTCTGAGAAGTTGAAGGGTGAGAAGCAGTCTCTAGGTTCAGGCAGGCCTCGGTCAGACACAGCAGTGAAGCAGCTATTTATTTAACGTTTGTGCACAAACGGGTGTCCTGGCAAGCAGGCACACGCAGCAAAGGCAGAACTTTGATTCGTATTTCCTTTCCCATCCTCAAGTTCCCTCCCTTGTTACCCCATTGGTTGGGGACTCCAAGGTTTACAGTCTATCCGACGTGTACAATCTACGTGCTAACTGTCCCACCTCTGGTTACACCTCCCCTTACTCAGTTTCGTACACCCCTTCCTCTTCTTTCTTTCTCTCCTTTTAGGGTTTGATTTCATAACTCTCTGGCAGGCACACGGTACCCCAACTTACTGCTTAACTACAGCAGCAGTTTGCACCGGCTTAGCTTCATAGGCTGTACAAAGATAGCGTTCTTTTGCACCACAGAGCGTGTCTGTTGCCCAAAGATGCCGTTGTCTTTAAGCACAGAGTGTGCCTGTTTAAGTCACGGTATTTCAAACCCTATGTTTCGTTCCCTGAGTAACTTAGCCCCAGCCCCAATATTGCAAAGTCTTAGTATTACAAAGCCTTAATATTGCAAAGCCTCATCACAGATATGCAAACCCAACAGTGCTTCTCTCTCATGCATGATTTTTCCCCGTAGGGAGCCTGCCATTTTCTTTTCACAGAATCATAGAATGGTTTGGGTTGGAAAGGACCTTAAGATCATCCACTTCCAATTCCCCTGCCGCAGGCTGGGACACCACACGCTAGGCCGTGTCATCCAAGACTCTGTCCAACCTGGCCTTAAACACTGCCAGGCATGGAGCATCCCCAGCCTCTCTGGGCAACCTGTTCCAGGGCCTCCCCACCCTCACAGTAAATGCAGTTGTTTTCATCATTCAGAGAATCTTTTTGGTAAAAGATCAGCGCAGCTTACAGATGGCATCACTAATGGCACAGCTTCTAACTACCCGAGTTTGGATCATTAATTCTTTTATCCACCTTGGAGCAAGAGTAGTCCTAAAGCATTGCTGCCTGGTTCTTAGTTGTTCTCAACATGCGCCAAGTAACAGAAAAGATGAGAAGGAGAAGCTCTTGGGGTTTTATTTCTGGTGTTTAGGCAGTGCCAGTAGAGAGGAGACCGAGAGGTCTGGGAGCAGGCAGCTGTAAGCACACCTTCCTGGGATACCTGCCGAGCGGCTTGCTTTGCTTATCTCTGTTTCCCAGTGGTTTTAAATCCTGAATTGTGAGAGTTAAATGAATCCATTGATCTCAACAGAGCACTTCTGCATGGAAATAGCTGCTCAGGAAGGAAAGGTGTCGCATCGATGTTTCCTCTGGAAAATCGAAGTGCTTTATGAAACAGAATTGTAAAGACAGTTTGTTTTTCTCCCCTCTACTTCTCCCTTTTAAAAAGTAAGTATTAGGCACCCTTTATGCCCTTGTCACTGACAGGAAGCTGGAGGCTCTGCAGGAAGCAAGCCAGAAGCTAGTGTTTGGTAACAGCTCTCTGCTTCTTTCTTTTCCCATTTAGTTTACTAATGGGGAGAAAACGTGAGGATGCCTCTGTCCAAAGGGCATTCCGAAGGGAAGGAGCAGGAGATGGGGAGTGGAACAGAGGCCGAGCTAGGACTTCATATCCTCACAAGTTTTTGTTACAGGGGAAACAGACTAAATGGTGTAAGAAGACCTGTTC